TTTTTTTTCTGTATTTTTTGTAGTTAACTTTTTTTATTTAAAGGTTACATACAGATTAAAAATTGTTAACTTTCAAAAATTATTTCTTTTGTTCAACTGCAATAAAATCGTTACTTTGTGTTATGTCACTGTTTATTAGCATTGAGAATTTATTTTTAGTAACTTCCAATATTTTTAGATAGGAAAGCAATATATATACAAAATCAAAATCAAAATATACACTATAAATTTTGAACTTCTGAAATGGGTTTGGTTGTGAAAAAAAGAAATTACTTTTAAAACTGTCAGTGACACTGGTATTAACTGTTAATAAAATCGTAGTTTTATAACATTAAAAGTTACATTTGAAATGGAAAAATCAATTTTAATTCTCACTTTTGTTCTGATATACCAGGTGGATAAAAAGTATGGAAACAAACGTTTTTTACTTAACTATTAATTTTTTGGAAAAACTAATTGATGAACGATAAAGTACTTTAAAGATGTGATGTTTTATCAAGAAAAAAATTTTTCGAATTTTTTTTTGTTTTTGAGTTCTACAAAAAATTTAATTTTTTTAAATAGCAACCCACTATAAAACTATTTTTCTCGTAATGGTTATGATCTAAGGATTACAACCATCTACTTCATATTTAATTTAAAAATTTTTTTTTATAAATTGCAATTTTGACCAAAAAAAAATCGCATAACTCAAAATTTTGTTCTCAAAATACGATCTAATTTTTTATATTACGTTAATTTATATTAATTATTATTTTTTGAAGACAAATGATTTAAAAAAAACGCTTGGTTCCATACTTTATATTCACCCTGTATATTTTTTGTAGTTAACTTTTTTGTTTAAAGGTTATGTCCAGATTAATAATTATTATTTTTTTCCTGTTCAACTTTATTAAAATTTGTTACCTTTCCTTAACTTTGAAAGTTGATTTTTTATAAACTTTCAATATTTTTAGATAGAAAAACAGCGGCCAAAAGTTACACTTTAAGAAACTCTCAAAAAATGTACACTATAAACTTTGAATTTCTTAAATAGTTTTGGTTGCTAAACAAGGAAATAACTCTTAAAATTGTCCGCCACATTGTATTAACTGTTATAAAACTATCAAAAAACAAATTTTTGATTTCTGGTAACGTTTTAAAATATCTTTGTTATCTCGCAGAGAATTATTATTTTTGTTTACTTTTCTTTCTTTCTTTGCGTTTAGTGTCAATATTAAAATTTTTAACTTCCAAATTTTACATTTCACTCTTGTTCTAACTTTCAAATTGTTTTACAATTAACCGTCTAAACTTATGTAGTTGTAAATTTATGTTTTCAACCCAAAATTGGTTACAAACAGCTGGAAGCGACTTTTAGTTACATTAACTTTTACCAAAAGTTACGTCTGCAACTATCTATTTGGAATTTTTTGTGTTAACTTTTAAACTAGTAACTTTTACATTTGCCAAATTTAACTCTCAAATCTCCTATCCTAAGTCGCAAACCAAGTTTCAATTGACTTTGAAATGATTATTCCTGGAAGAAGAGCTGTAACTTTAACAAATGTCAACTATAACTCTTAAATGTCAATTTGATTATAAAACTGGAGTAACTTTCAATCAGTTTTGATTCTCAAACAGTTTTAAATTTGTCTCTAAATCTCAAAGCAAGTTTCAGTTGATTCTGAAATATTTAGACTTCAAAGAAAAGCTGTAACTTTAAAGTATAGCTATTATTTTAATGTCAACGATAACTTTTAAAACTTTCAAACACATTACTCAATAACTTTAAAAGTATTAAAAACTTGTTTTCTGAACTGTCAATATGGTTACAAAACTGCAATAACTTTCAAACATAGCAATTTTAACATTTAAGTTTTAAAAAATTGAACCATTCTCCTTCGAGATCTCATTCCACATCTCGGCTTCGTGTTCGCCTAATCACTCCAGTGGTCCGGTTCCTCGCCTGGGGCACCGCTTACACACACACACAAAACCCAAAACTATTTCTTTCTCCCAGCTGTCCATCAAACGTCTCCTTCGAGGTTATCCTCTTTCGATTACATCACCGAGTCCCTCAATCCAGACGGCCAGCGTCAAGGCCTCCTGGATGCATATCCTCGCCATGTGCGTGTCGCAATTTTTTTTTACTTTCCAATACACACCAGTAGGTGTTAAACATTGAACATGACCATTGCTATTGAATTTTGAAGGTCGAGGACTGGTCTTTGTTCAGCGACCCGCGCAGTACGTAATGATAATAATAATAGTAATAAGTGTCGATGAAAAATTCCCCGACTTGACTAGTTTTACGGCCCGTGTAATTAGTTTGCACTAAGCGACGATGAAATTTGTGTCATTAACGCGCACGAGAGCGGAACGATAAATTAAATTAGAATTTATTTATTATTATTCCATTTCAAATACAAAAAAAAATGTAATAATATTGTCGATTGGTCATTGAATACTTCCGTTCAATTTTTACCGAGAAGAATGACGCGTCGAAATATCCAACGGATCTTTTCGAAAAAGTAATTAAGTGCTCTGAAAGTGCTGTTTACGGAAGTATAGTAGGCGCTGAATTACACTCAGGGTCACAATTTCGTAAAGAATTCGTGAAGTAATCGAGCTTTGACCGTGACAAATGGCAACCACTGAAAAAAATTTCTGTTTTCGGTGGGCTTTTCACATGATTGTATCGTGCGAAAAGTCGGCTTGGGATTGTGGCTTTCGTCACTTTTCCAATGAAAAAACTGACGCGTTCTCAAGTGAAAATGCGTTTTTAGCACAAGTGATATTATCTGATGAACTGTTTTTGATATATATCAGGATTAATTTGGACAAAAACTGGGGCTTAGTTGTCTATGGTTATTCTTTTACAATGAAAAATACATTTTTGCCACAAGTGGTTATATCGGATGAACCAATTTTTTAACACTTGCACGTTCATCGGGTCTTTGCATTTTATTTTTTAGTTTTCTATTTCAGATTAAGTCAACTTGATTTCTTTAATAATCCTCTTACTTACATTATGTTAGTAGGAGTAAAAGTTATGTGGCGAAGCCGAACGTAGTGAGGCAAGTAAACTCACTTTTACTCCAAATAACATATACTATTTTATCCGCAAACGTATTGAGATCGAGAGTAAAGAGCAACACTTAATTAGCAAGTAAATGAACAAAATAATCAAGACGCTTTGCAAAATGTTGAATGCGATGATCTCTCTAGAAAATGCTAAAGTACTGAAAAAGATAAGAAAGAAAAAAATTTGGTATATGTCAATATTGTATGGTAAAAGTATAAACACATAGGCGCAAAAATAGAGTTTTTTTTCGTTAAATCAGTTTTTAAAGAACAATTTTTTGCGCTATCATCGGAATTTTCACTTTTTTTATTTAAATTACTTTAAATTAAGAGAATTTTAATTGGAAATAATTATTTTTGCAAAATTACTAATTAAAAACGATATTTTATGATGTTTATTGCCATATTTTACAATAAAAGGAGCAAATTATTTATGAACAATTTTTCTCTAAATATTTTCATATTTCTTTTTGACGTGACTTTTGATTAGTTAAATTACTATTTCTTGATTCAAATTAAATAATTTGTATTCCAACTATTAATAATTATGTTTTAATAATGAAAAAGCAGAAAAAATATTTTCTGAACGATTTTTCAAATATTTTTTTCAAAACTACTAATTATAGAGAAATACAGTTTCAAGCCTACTAGATAACAAAATTAAATTTGTCATTTGATTGCAGGAATTATAATTTGTGAACTATTTTTTTACGTTTTTTTTACTGTTTTTTTTGTATTTTGTTATCAAATACGTGGTTTCTAAAATTTTATTGCATCACAAATGAGATGAAATACATACAGGATGAAAATAAAGTTTGGAGCCAAGCAACTTGTTGAAAATTGTTTGTTTCCAGAAAATAATAATTAATATAAATGAAAATAATATAAAAATGTCATTGTATTTTGAGAATGAAATTTCGTTTTGTTTTTTTGCGTTTTTTGCGATTTTTTTTTTGTAAAATGTCAACTTTTATAAAAAGAAAATTTGATGAATATTAAATATAAAGTAAATAGATGTAATTCTTAGATCACCTTTACGATAAAGGTGATTTTATAGTGGCTGACCATTTAAAAAAAATTATTTTTTCGCAGAACTCAAGAAAAAAAATTGAAAATTATTATTCTTGATAAAACGTCATATTTTTATAGTACTTTACCATTCATCAATTAGTTTTTCCAAAAAATAAATAGTTTAAGCAAAAATCGTTTGGTTCTATACTTTTTATTCACCTGGTATGGTAATTACAAGTGATAATATTTAATGAACGCATTTTAGGTACCGAAAAAACTAATGAAACGTTCATCGAATCTTATCACTGAGTGAATGGTCGCTTGACGTGTTTTGTTGGCTACGTATTTGATCTTGTTATTAATAAATTTTTCATATTTTTACGTGACTATTATTTTTGACGTAAATATGAATTTTTGTAATCTGACATTTAAAGAGCATAGAACGGTCACGTGACCCTCTTGATTTTGACAAGCGACTGAAAAATCGCCTTTTATCATTGCATATTTCATATTTGAAGTTATTTCGGTTCGGTCACGTGACCGTTAAGCTTCGCACATTGTCGGCGTCGTTCCGGAAAAGCGATTTCACAATAGGAAACTTCTTTTTTAAAAATGACTATGAATATCACGAACGGTTTTTAATAATCGCATAATTAATGGGTGAGTCACGTGATCATCACTTTAATCGTCTGTCGACACGCAAACGTCGCCGACTCGATTAAATATAACATTGTATAAAAGGCAACGAAAGTAAAAACATCTCGTGAACGGCGGGTGTTAATCAAACACAAATAAAAGTGAAACAGCGGCGGCGAGTGATAGTATCTGATGAACGGGTGTGAGTATACGAGGGATGGATTGAAAGTTTTTTGCATTACGAGGTGTAGTCTGGAAGTTTGATTAATTGTGGTGTTTTTTTTCAGGTTTTCGGGTCAAAGGCCGAATTGCAATTGCACACTCAAGCTCACATGCGCGAAGCCAAACCGTACAAGTGTTCCCAGTGTTGTAAGGCGTTCGCCAACAGTTCCTATTTATCGCAGCACACTAGGATTCACTTAGGTATTAAACCCTACCGATGCGAAATCTGCCAAAGGAAGTTCACACAACTCAGCCATTTGCAACAACACATTCGTACGCATACGGGCGATAAACCCTACAAGTGAGTGTCAAAAAGTGACAGTTTACCACATTTGAAACCTGCGATTTTTTTCAGATGTCGACATCCAGGTTGTCAGAAGGCGTTCTCGCAGCTGAGCAACTTACAGTCGCATTCGAGGTGTCATCAAACGGACAAACCGTACAAATGCAATTCGTGCTACAAGTGCTTCAGCGACGAGCCGTCCTTACTCGAACACATTCCCAAACATAAGGAGAGCAAGCATTTAAAAACGCACATATGTCAGTATTGTGGCAAGAGCTATACGCAAGAGACTTATCTCAGCAAACACATGCAAAAACACGCAGAAAGAACGGACAAAAGACCCCCCATAGGGCCCGCACTAGGTGAATATTAACATCATTATTATCTTTTTTGTTATTGGCCCAAAACTTATGATTTTTGGCTCAGACCATCTGGTCGGCTGGAGTAACCCACACACCAAATTTAATGCAGATATGTCAAAAAATAATTATTTTTTTGGGACAAACTGCATGTTTTTGTATAATTGGTTGCATACGTAGTAATTTTGAGATATTATGTAACGCGTAAAAATAGGTGACACACATTTTACGGTTTTTTATTTTTTCAATGTATATTGAAAAAACAGGGATATACAAAATTAAGTACCTCCTAAGAACAAATCAACATATTGAAATGATTTTTCTTAAATAATAGATACAACTATGTACTTTACGGATGTGGTAATGCTTGTTTTCTAAAAGCTTGTTTTTACCAAATAATTCAAAAAAGTATTGTTCAACAAAACAATAAACAATTACGCAGGTTTTTAAAATTCTCAAAAAAATATGTAAAGACTTATATTTTTACTAGGTCCTCATACAAGTTTCAGGACAGACTTTTTAAAAATGATTGATAATTTTTTTTTTGAGAGACCTGCAAAGTGTATACCCTGAGATCTTCTGAAACTAGTGTTTCTATGGAAATTAAATAAAAAAAAAACCATTACCGTCATTAATAAATTGTTCTAAATACAATACATAATTTCCAATAATTCATTAACATTTATTTTTAAAATCATTATACAGTGTTTTAAAAAAGGATTGTAAATATTTAAGGAGGTAATAATATGGACCAAAATAAACAAGCAAGTAACGGTTTCGGTGATATCGAATGTGAAATTTTTAGAATTTTTACTAAAAGCTTCTCTTTTTTGTTTGAACAAATTACAAATAAATAATTGAATAATTTTTGATATCTCCGAAACCGTTACTTTGCAGACCTATGTTTATTAAGACTTTTTTATTTATTTTGATTTATACTATACCTCCTGAAATATTTTACAATCTTTTTTTAATACCCTGTATAAAAACAAATTCTTTGGTAGAGGAGTACTCTGTATTTTATTCTATTTCTTGATATTAGGATAAAAGTGTGTAGGTTTTGTGTTCCTTTTATGACTAAAACAATATATTAAAGAATCGCAATATTTTTGAAATTGTCAACAAAAAAATTGAACCAAACGTTTTTTGATTAAATTATTTATTATTTGAAAAAACTAATTGATGAATGTTAAAGTATTGGAAAAATGTGTCTGTCCACATTTTCTTCAATTTTTATAGAAAAAAATTTCATATAAGTTGCTGTTTTGAAGAAAGAAAATTTCATAATTCAAAAACACAACAAGATTTTATCCCAAAATACATTTTTATAGCATTTTAATTTTTATTATTTTTTTATTTTTGAAAACAAAAATATTAAAAAAAAAAGGTACATCTAAAAATGTGTTTATTCATATTTTTTGAATACATGTTATTGATATTAAAAAATGAAGTTATTGTTAATTAAAAAATATTTTTAAATTGTACAGGGTGTATCAAAAATACGTGTGTTAATTTTAACACGTGAAAGAACTTAACAAGTAAAACAACTTTTCTATATAACATTTTGCAAAATACTTATTAAATTGTTTATATTGTTTTCTTTCATAATTTTGTGTAAACGAGCCGCTCAATGCACATAGATAATCACAACAATGCAGTTTTTTAATGTAGTTTCTATCACAACGAAAATATTTCGGAATTTTTAATTTAATACCCATAAGCGGGTTTTTATATCTTATCTTTTCCAAATTTTAAATCAAATTTGAAAGCTTTAATTGAAACATTACAAATAGAAAAAATGTATTATTTATCGAGATGTTACATGTTAAAATTAACACACGTATTTGTGATACAACCTGTATATAATAATAAGCTTCATCCATATTTTTTCAAAATACATTGGCAAAGTAAAAAAACCTATTTTTATGCGTTTTATAACATCTCAAATTTTGATTTTCGTGTTACTTGCCCAAAACTTAAGGTTTTTGGCTAAAATCATGTAATTGGATCAAGAAACACACAAAGGAAATTTAAACCAAAAAAAAACCTCATTTTTTGGGACAAACTACAAATTTTTGTATAATTGGTTGCATACATACTAACATTGATTAAAATTTTTGTTGTTTTTGGGCCAAATTTTTCGAAATTCAGTACTCGCAATCAGCTCAGTGATAGGGACGGTTGACTCTAATTAGATCAACTGTTTCCAGGTTTGAACCACCGAGGCTTGGAGCACCCCTACTGGCCGAAAGTGAGCCCCGACAGCGCCGAGAACATGCACGAGTACCCGTCTGACATCCCTCGCCAGATCCTGGAGCAGAACGAAGACCTCGTGATAATCCGGCAACAATTGCAGAACCCGCCTGCGCCCCCTGGTACCCCCAACGCCAATTTATCGAACAGCTACGACGCATCGATATCGAAATCCACCACCAACTCGGCCTTCACCCCCATCAACTCAATGTCGGGTCATTTGAACCTCAACCACCACCAGTTGGCCCCCAATAGGCCCTACATCTACGACGCCATCAGCTTCCAGAAGCAGAACAGCCTCGACCTGCCCAAGAGCCAGCCCTCCAACGGCTTCCCCAACCAGTTGATCTCCCTCCACCAGATCCGTAATTACGCGCATCAGCCCAACGCCGGCCTCATGGAGCACTCCATCCTGGGGGGGCTCAAGGACAAGTAGGGGGCGGGACCCCCGGGATATGACTGTGATCGGAGGCAATAGTTGGCTGAATTAATAAAAAAAGACAATTTGTGAATACTTTGTACAGAAGACATAGGTTTATTTCACTGGGCCGGGGGGCTCCGCCCCCGGCATAGCTCAATATATTTGTAATAATATAATTTATTTTTAATTTTTTTCCAGTTTTTCTTATAAGGGCGAAAACAGCAACGCAATCGTTTAAGTTTATGAGATTTTTGTTTAGGGACGGTTACATTGTTGTTTGTAAAGAAATGCAATTACGTTATGTTAACGTTACGTTACGACCTCTGTTAAGTTTCAAGTGAAGAAAGCTTTAACTTACGAAATTATCCCCTAATTAGGCTTTTTTTCTTTTGTAAGTAGCTTGTGATCAGAAATAATGTTGTATTTATATTTAAAAAATTATCGGTTTTTGTTATATACTTTATTAATAAAAATTACAATTAGTTACTTTTTTCTTTTTTATTTTGCCGATTTTTCAACTGAATGTTTATATAACTGTGATAATTTTTCGTACTGAAAGGTTAATAAACATTAGTCAATTTGTAAATAACAAGAAATTTTTATGGAAAGTAGGTAAATGCAATATGAAGGTTCCGATCCTTAACTTAAGCACTTTAGAGTCTGTTTCGAGTGGCCGTGACGCGCGTCGCGGCCACTCGATACCGATTTTACATTCCGACTTTAATAAATGTCTTTTCTGCATAAGATAAATGTCGTCGTTGTAAAGGAAAAACACTAAAACTCTCTTTTCAGATTTTAATGACACACAATACAACAACACAACGAATTGATTGTTGATTTTTACGTTAAATTTCGTTGGAGGTCTTTAGTTGTTTCGTTTTGCGCACAAGAGGAATAACTAGGACTTTTCTCAGCACGTTTAGGAGTAATTACATTTTTCGAGTTATTGGTGTCTTTGAAAAATTTAATGTTATGGTATGTTTATTGAATGTAAAGAAATAAATAATTTAAATCACTTTGTTGCCTCTTATTCTGGATAATTAAGCGACAATTTGCTAGTGAAAACTGTGAGAATTTGAATTTTTTGTCTTGTGATCGCAGCGCCACTAGTGGATTTGGATTAAACTATTAGGCTTGGTGTATAGTTGGTTGCCTACGTAATAACTTGAAATTTTTAAGAGAAGATTTAAAATTATTCCTGCCTACAAAAGATATAGCATAAAACCAATAAAAATCACCAAAAAAATAAGAACAAATTCCTACGATCACAAAAAAAATGGAACAAAAATTGCTGGTGGTCACAAAAAACGCCTTCCGTTCCAAAAAATAGAACAAAAAATTGCTTGAGGCCTTGTTAGAAATTTGTTAAAAATCAAGAGCTTACATTAGAAGATCAAAAATATTTCAAAATATTGGAGCAACAAAAAATTGAGCAAAAAATCTAACACAGGCGCAAAAAACAGAACAAAAAATCGCTGGTGGTCATAAAAAATAGAGCAAAAAATAGATTTCCATCTAAAAAAATAGAACAAAAAATTGTTTGTGGCTTTTGTTAAAATTTTATTAACAATTAGGAGCTTAGATTGGATGAACGAAAATACTTTAAAAATTTTGTAACAACAAAAAATTGAACAAAAAAATCAATTGTGGTCACAAAAAATAGAGCAAAAAATTGCTCCCCAAACAAAAAATAGAATAAAAAATCGCTTGCGGCTTTTGTTAAAATTTTATTAACAATTAGGAGCTTAGATTGGATGAACGAAAATAATTTAAAAATTTTGTAGCAACAAAAAATAGAACAAAAAATCGCAGATGGTCACAAAAATTAGAGCAAAAAATTGCTCCCCAAACAAAAAATAGAACAAAAAATTGCTAGTGGCCTTTGATAGAAATTTATTAACAATTAGGAGCTTAGATTAAATAAACAAAAATGTTTTTAAAATTTTGTAACAAAAAATAGGACAAAAAATCGATAGTGGTCACAAAAAATAAAGCAAAAAAATCGAATTCCATCTAAAAAAATAGAACAAAAAATTGTTTGGGTTTTTGCTAAAAATTTATTAACAATCAGAAGCTTAGATTGGATCGAAAATATTTTAAAAATATTCTAACAACAAAAAATAGAACAAATAATCAATAGTGGTCACAAAAAATTGCTTGTGGCCTTTGTTAAAAATTTATTAATAATTAGGAGTTTAGAATTAGATAATCGAAAATATTTTAAAAATTTTGTAGCAACAAAAAATAGAACAAAAAATCGCTGATGTTCACAAAAAATAGAGCAAAAAATCGCTCCGCAAACAAAAAATAGAACAAAAAATTGCTTGTGGCTTTTATTAAGAATCAGTAGCTTAGATTAGATGATCAAAAATATTTAAAAAATTTCGAAGCAACAAAAAATTGTGAAAAAAATCGCCCACAGGCACAAAAAATCGCTTTCGGCTACAAAAAATAAGACAAAAAACCGATTTTGCTTTGCTTTTAAAATGTGTTAAGTATGAAAAGTTTTCGTTAATTTTTTTTTGAATTGGGTGCATATACAAGAAGTTTGGGGATAAATAAAGTTTCAAACTAAATTAAATACGTTTATTAATGTCTAATTAATACTTTCTACACTGTACTTGAATCGTCTAAGCTCTAACATATATTTACATACATGAAACCATGTTGTTTAACAACATTGACTGAAGTTTTACATTAAACATCCAGTTATTAGCAACATTTTTATATAAAATATAAATCAAACTTAATGTTTTGCAATGTCACATAATTTGGCGCCAATAAACGGGTAAATCCCCTGTCGGTCGTAAAACATCAAATTATCCTACATGACGAAAAGAATTTATTTTACAAGGGTGGGAGCACACAAAAATAATAATATATACTCTGTTATAACGATACGTTTCATTCAGGCACTACAGTTAAGTGTTGATTTTTTAATGAATTTTCCAATCACCCATTTTCAGGGGCCCTCGCCCCACGATTTATTTAGACATTTTTTATACAACAGATAAACATCGAAATTTAGTCCAAACACCGGCTGTCTACAGCAACGATCGATATGAAAATCCAAGTATATCGAAACTATAAGCAGCACATACAGAAATGACGGCCTGTCTCGGATGTTTGTTTGTCTCTAAAAATATTTTATTTCCTATACACTTATGTAAAGCGTGTCGTTATACTTGTAAACACATTTTTACCGGAAAAAGATTTGAAATTGGCGCGCTTGTCGCATCGATCAGACCCCAACAGGTGGCGCCACCTAATCGACACGACATACACTTAACTCCTAGACTAGTAATATTCACATGTACAACAGTATTAACGCTACATTTTAAGGTATCACAAAAAATACTTGTCGTTTGTCCCTCTTAAAAATAATTTTTCTTTGCTTTTTTTTTTACTTTTTTTTCGACAACAAGTCGGGTTGTGCTTGAAATAAGTGACAACAAAATGGCCGCCGATGATATTTTATTGTCATTCGATGCAACGAATGGTTTTAACGAAACATTTTTTGTTGGTTGTATCGGTTTGCCGTTTTGTTGCCCCCTTATTCCGGTTTGAGTCGGTGCCACTGGACGATGGTCTGTCGAGGCTTCGTTATCATGTCTTGCCAGTGCTTGGTCTCGGACGCTCCTGAGCCGTTTTTGCCTAAAACAATGAAAAAACCATTAAAAAAACATTAATATTTTCACAACTATAATTTTTTTTAGGTTCTTGACCTGCTGCAAACGTCGAATTTACGCACAAAAAACTCGTATACATACACTCGTATGTTATACACATGTATAACATACAGGATGCTCCAGAACTCGCGCCCCAAAGAAAAATGTTAAAAAAGTTGTATGTATAAAAAATTGGAAGTAATGAGAGTTTAAATTTAGCACTTTGACTCTATTTATTTCTGTTGGAAAAATTATTTCCAAGTTTATTTGCTACAGGCTATTAGAAGAGGAAACAAGGAAGCTGTATCCTAAATTGTAACTCTGTTTAAATGTTATTTGTGGCTTTTTTTTAATTGGCAAAACTTTGTACCTTTGCTAAATAATTATAAAAAAACCTACACAAAATCATCAGTATCATTAAATAAACAAAATGTCAAAAGTAAATGTCAAAATTTTTTGACAGAGAGAATTTTTTAAACATTTCTTCCATGTTCCTGATAACTTATCTTACTTGAAATTTGTATCAGGAGTGCGAGTTTTGACACATCCTGTTTATCATTTTATATATACTGAAATGTCATTTTACACAACTCTTTAATTTAATTTAATAACTTATTACATACTGAATGACTATTTAGTTTTAATTGAAATAGCGCCATCTAGTGGTGCGTCATAGCCATCACGATTTTTCTTGACGTGTTCTTGTCATTGACATGTCATTGAAGTCTAAAAAAAAAAATCCTGATTTTTTATAAAAGTCTTTGACCAAAAAGATATAAATCTTGTGTGTGAACCATTTTACAGCGCTCAGCTACGCTTCGTATCTAAAATTAATTTCGCCTTGTAAGTTGTTGAAGTTTTCACGGGCGTGGACTACATGGGTGCATCGGTGCACCTTGTAAAAATAATAATAATAATTCTTAATAATATTTAGAATTTCGTATTTGTTCTAATCTTTCTTTAGTAAAAAACTCATTGAAAAATGATTTGTTATTATTTCAAATACCTATAACAAAACGACAAAACATTCTACATAAACTTTGTTTATATTTTGCGCCTGAAAGAAAGCTCATTTCGACACCAAAACAATGCTTTAATGAGCCATTTCAACACCAATTCGGGTGTTAAAATAGACTAGTACAATTTACTTTCTAGACGTTGGTAATGGTGATTTTCAACGGCGTTTTGAGCGATTTCTCTTATTTCAGGAGGTGTGCATCAAATATTTGTAGTATTCATTATTAATTCAACAAATTGTTGAAAAATATTCGAGACCTGACACTTCGAAAATCGAATTTTTCAAATTTTGTGACATTTATTACCAACTACAACCTTATTAGAGCAGAAGTTCCTAAATTTTTAAAAATTGACTTTAGAACGCGCAAAATAGACAAAAATGGCATAAAAAACTTGTTTCATAAGTAATTTGTGGGAACTCATCTTTTTTTTTTATAAAATTCGTGCTTCGCAGCTCGTTTCATAAACCTGAATTCGTTGCCTTACAAACCGCGTTCTTTAATATACTGTTAAATACTAGTCTAAAAAATTAAAGAAACAAAATTTCTTACATTTTTTGGTAATTTTTGAAAGACTGTACCTCAATGAAAAATAGTAGTATCTAGATTAAAAAAATATATTTTGAAGTTTCAAGTTTTTAGTCTTGAGATCTTTTGTCAAAAAATTTTTCTAAGCTACGACTTTGTAATTTTTTTGTAATTTTTATTAGTTAAATCTATGCATGGGCCGGACAGCTTGTTTATTAAGCTTCAATTTGCTTTTTTTGTTCTCTTCACGTCAATTTGTCGCCAAGATATTTGACTTTTAATGAAAAAGGATCTTTTTGTCTTTGATCATCGATATCTCAGGAAGCAATGACCGTACAGAGAATGAAAAATAGTTTCAAGAACTGGAATAAATTTCCTACGAGATATTTTACGATAATAAAAAATCACTCTCAACATTAATTTAAAGAAAAGAGAAAAAAATAAGATTGTGTTGTTTTAGTAAACCTACCGCGTATTCACAACTACTGATGGGTAGGCTAATATTTATAGTTTTTTTAGAGCTTAATGTACCCCAAATAGGTCTTGATTTTTAAGTCGATCCATCAATCTGTTTTTTTCACAATTTTGCATATTAAATTTAAAAAAAAATTAACAATTTTGATGTTTTTAAAAATTTGTAAAAAAATTAAGAACCAATACTAATTAATTTTTGAAGCCATTTGACCTTTTGCTAACCCTAATTTTAGTCATATCATTAGTTAAAAATTGATACCCCCAAGCTGCATTCAGCACTCGATTCATACAAATTTTCAAAAAAAAAATGTAACAGTAGTGTATTTTTCTCAAAACTCAACAACTTGAAGCATTTGGAACTTTGAACATGTAGCTACTATTTTCTTTACACTTTTTACTGTACCCATACATGAACCACTTTTGTATTTTTTTACTGTTATTTATTATTTTTTTCTTTTGTACTATACGAAAAATTATACATATAGTTTTTAAATATCCTCAATATTATATACATTAAATTCGGCAAAAATAGAGAAGAAGAAATCGTTTTTTTTTGCGTAATTGTTCTGAAGTCCTGTAAGTTGTACCAACATAATGTATAGAAGACATGGAAAGAAATTTTTTTATGTCATTTGTATTGCTTTAAAGACGATTAATTTATCAAGTTTTTTGTTTATACACCCATTGAAAACATGCTAGAAACAATTTTTTGGTAGAGCGCCCAAAATTTTTAGAGGGGCTAGAACAGTTCTGCTGTTTTGTATAGTACACGTTTATTACAGGGACAGATCCAGAAATTAATTCGGGAAGGGGGGCCTTTCTAAAAGTTTTTAGAATGATGATGATTAGGTGTAAGATGAAACATTTACTCGTACTTTGGTATATACAGTATGTCCCCGGATTGAATTTACAAGAGAAAAAAATTTTTGTCTTTGATTTTACGACAAAACTGCGAAGGAAAAACATTTTTTGCTTCACCTGAAATGAGCAAATCTGTAATTAAAACTTCATTATTCTGATTCAGTGGAAAGAAAAGTTAAGTTTTCTCTTGATTTCGGACTTCAAGAGAAAAATTAATTTTTCTTTCTAGTGAGTTAGAATAATAAAGTTTTAATTACAAATTTGCTCGTTTTGGGTAAAGCAAAAAATGTTTTTCCTTTGCAGTTTTGGCGTACAATCAAAGATATTTTTTATTCGAAAAAAAATTACTCGATTACAAATTATTTTAATCTCTCGATATTAATAAGTGTAATTTAAAAATAATTCTAATGTTTTATTTAAAAAAAAAACTTTAGGTCATAAGGTTTTAAATTAAATTAAAATTAAATTAAAATTAAATTAAAATTTAAAAATAAAAAAATGAAAATTTCGGTGGCAAGTTTGGGGTGGGCCCTGGCCCCCTCCACTGGATCCGCTCTTAGTTTATTATTTTACTATACATAATGTTATTAAAAGGTTCTAAATTTCAATGTAAGAAAAACAAAAGAAACACATTTAATGAAATTAAAAAAAAATTAATGATGTGATCCTAAAATAAAACCCTACTTGCCCCCCCCCCCCTAGCTACGAAAATAGGAGTATTGGAGTTTTGAGGAGCTGAAGTTACAAGTTCGATTTTTACTTTTCTTATCCTATAAGGAAAGCATTGTAATCGGCCTACCCAGATTTTTACATTTCTGGGCGAATTATAGCTTCAAGACACAAAAAAGTTGGTTTGGGCCATTGTGTGTTACCTGCTAGTAGGATCCTCCCGATGAGCTCGTTCCTCCCGATATTATCGAAATCCATGACCATGACATCCAACGAGCACTCTCTGATCTTCTCCCAGGGCACGTTGAACGAGAACGTGTCGTTGAAAACAGGATTGAGAGTACACTTGTAGATGGCCGTTTTGCGTTTTTCGATGCGTTTATCGCCAAACTGCAGCCACACTTTAACGTAGGGATCTGTAACGACACAAAAATTATTTTTTTTTGTTCAATTTTACTGAGTTTCAAATACCAACCAGATTTTCCATTGATATCTTTAGCTTTGAGATTCCTCGCTTTGAGCAATGTCAATGTGAGAATGCTGTTGCTGGGATGGTAACACAAAGAGGTTAGAAGTTCACCACATTTGTCTTTTGCTGGGGGTTTGAGCGCTTTCCAGAACGACGGCTTTTCGCTCAAATCCACCTTGGAAACAAAAAAATATCAATAAGAAAAAATTGATTCGAAGAGACGAAAAAGGTGATAATAATGAAAAAACATAAAAATAAATTAATTTGTACAGGGTGCTGCATTTTGGATGTCCGAATAGGGAATCTCCGAAACTAAAAGGTTTAGCCAAAAACGAGTAATACATTATGGGGCTCATTTTTTGAGAAAATAATATTGGTTAAAACCGCATCCCGCTATCGTCTTTTGTTTTCGACTTAGACAAAAATTGACATTTTAGCGAAATCCAAAAAAATTCATATCTTCGTTATTATAGAACACACAGATTTGAAATAAAGACATTATATAGGCACTTTTTTACGTAGAATTTAATAATGTAGTTAACAATTTTAGTTGTTTGTTTAGCCGTAATAAAATAAACTTGTATTTTTTTAAATGGGAATATATATTTGTAACAAATTATTATAATACATTTTTAGCAAAAAGTTATCTTTGATTTTTGTTCGCAGTTGGCCATGAAAAAATTTTGCATCTTCAACTAAAAGGATTTAAACTATATTATATTCAACTAGTGTCACTAATGAAAGAGTTTTCTATGTATTAAGTAATGAAAAAGATGAGAAATCATTCGTAAATCAACTTATTGGCGACTAATAACATTTCTTTGTTTTTAAACAAGCTATCATTACCATTGCAACTTCTAGTGATACATAGAGTGTTGTAAAAAAAGCCGCTTTAATTCCTCAATAAAATAAATTTTATATGACACAAAAATGACGATATGGCTATTCAAATACCCAAATTCGGTCTATGTGAAACGTTATCCTACCTCCATTAGATCATCCAAAAAATGTTTTTTCTAATTGTGTTGACTGTTGACACATTTGTTTTTCCTATTTTTGGATTTTTTAAAAATATGTAATAATTTTATTCTGAGGCGCTCGGATATTTGTTCAATGCTTCTACCGTATCGTATTTTTTAAATCTTTATAATTTTATCTATTTTTTCATCTATTTTACAGTTCACAAAACTATTACTGATTATTATTTACACTTTTGGAGTGTAATAGTTTTTCCATGGCCAACTATTATCACACAAAATATGTATTTCACTTTTTAAGTATAGTTATAAAAAAATATTTTGTTACAAATATATATTTTTTAGATCAGAAAAAAATAAGCTTTTCAAAATTGCCACAGCCGCCTATGATTTCCATTTAAAAAAATACAAGTTTATCTTATTACGGCTAAATTAATAACTGAAAAAAATTGTTAACTACATTGTTAAATTCCTCGTAAAAAAGTTGACTGAATAATGTCTTTATTTCAAATCCCTATCTTCTATAACAACTTTTGTCTGTAAGTCGAAAACAAAAGACGATAGCGGGGATGCGGTTTTAACCAATATTATTTTCTCAAAAAATGAGCCCCAGAATGTATTACTACTCGTTTTTGGCTAAACCTCTTAGTTTCGGAGATTCCCTATTCGGACATCCAAAATGCAGCACCCTGTACACAGGATCCGCGAGTTGGTAAAGTTGGTAATAGGGTTTATATCACAAGAGATTTTACACCGCCGAGTTGTTTATTGCCCGAGATGCGTAGCATCGAGGGAAATAATAAATGAAAGGCTATAATAATCTTCTTTACTGTCTTTTATATCAGATGAATAAAAAGTATGGAACCAAGCGTTTTTTTCGTAAACTAAGCACTTTACGAAAAAAATAATTAGTGTAGCGTAAAGTACAATTAAAATGTGACCATTTATCAAGAATAACATTTTTCGAAATTTCTTTTAGTTTTCGAGTTCTGGAAAAAAAACTTTTTAAATGGCAACCCACCATGGTAATTTTTTAAATTAAAGATTATGATCTAAAAATGACCTCTAATTAAACAGAATTGTTTTTAGTCAGTACTTTTTTTTTTAATAAATTGTTGAAGTTGCGTCTATTACGAAGATTTTCCGAACTTGAACGAGGGAGTCTTTTCATGACTTTGGTCGTTGGAGAGCCCGGTTTTTTGTGCAGGTGCTTTGGGGTGTTTCCGCATGGATCAAAAAATCAAATAAGAAAAACTCATTTTCTTCTGCATAGAAATCAGCGCTCTCAAATGATGAAATGCATGAAACAACCACTTTGGTTAAGTTCGGAAAATCTTCGTGATGAGTTCGGAACGCAACTTTAATAATTAATTACAAAAAAAGTAATGGCTAAAAAACAATTTTATTTAATTAGAGGTCATTTTTAGATCATAATCTTTAATTAAAAAAATACCATGGTGGGTTGCCATTAAAAAAAAAATCCAGAACTCGAAAACTAAAAGAAATTTCGAAAAATGTAATTCTTGATAAATGGTCACAATTTAATTGTACTTTCGCTACACTAATTATTTTTTTCGTAAAGTGCTGAGTTTACGAAAAAAACGCTTGGTTCCTTACTTTTTATTCACCTGGTATAATTGTTTTTCATTACTAGCACATTTATTACCCAGGAATACAACGGTGAAAATATAACCTCACTGCCTAATGGGCATGTGATTACGTGACATGTAATTCACAATTATTATTTTTGTTAATTTATTTTATTAAATGAAATTATGTAATTTCTTTTACTTCTGCATCTACTAAAAAATTCTTTAACTTCATAATTATGAAATATTTGTTAAAATAGCATAGAAACTGAAAAAAGGGTTAAAAATTGTCCTACCACCTGCACTATATTTCAATATGAAATAGGTCAATTTGTTTTGATATTTTTGACAAAGACAGAAAAATTAGAGGTGGGGTGATTCTGACAGTGTGATTTTTTTAAATTTCTGATCTAGTTATCCATGATACTTACGTCAGCAGTAGAATGTATTGCGTAACTAGGAAATTTTTGTTTACATTGAATATTCTGTTTAAATTTATAACAATTAAAATGGAACACCCTGTATTTGTATCAATGTGGTACCCATCAATATCTGTATTTACCCATCTCTAATTCATTATTACCCTTGGTCAATAATGAAAATGCTTATTGACTACTAGGAGAGAAAAAAAACTTCACAACCTTTAGAGAAACTAAGTAATGGGAACTTTTACACCTAGAAGTGAAAAACATCCATTATTGCATTTTAAATAATTTAAAAACATTTTTTTACCAAAATACCAACCTGCATCGCCTGAAATTATTTTCATGTATACAGTGTGTTAAAAATAAGTGAAAAACTTATGTTAAAACATGTTGTAAAATATGTATTTGTATTTTTTTAACAAAAATACACTTTCTTTGTAAATCCCAGGACTATAAATCCTGGGAAAACTTTAAAGAAGAAAGGTCGAACTTTAAGAGTGTATTTGTTTTAGCTCACAGCAATCAAAAAGATAAAAAAATTAAGAAGTTTGTTAAAAGTTAAATTACTTAAAAACTTTAAATAAAACACTCTAATTTTATTTTTGCATCTAAAAGACTTTTAAATGGTCTCTCTAAAAACAAATATTTAAAGTCTAGTTTCGTAATCGAATCTAAAAGAGCTTCAATTAAATGTTGTTTAGAATGGGCTAATTCCTACGGACTTGTTGACAAAAATTTTACAATCAAAACCAACACTAACTTTAAAGTCCCTTTAATTTGATTATGAAAGTAGCCTTAAGCGTCTTTTAAAAAAATCTTTTGCTTTAAAAACACAAAAAATTCAACTACGTACTATCTTATTAGTGTGTAGTTGTGGCAATAATGCACATTTTAAAATTTATCGTCCCAATTTTTGTCTAAAAAACGTTTCTTATTAGTCGTGGGCTAGACAACACATATTTTACACTAAAACATTGGATTAATAGCAGTCCATATTTATTTATAAGTAAATAAACATTAACAAATTTTAATTAAAAAAATCACTAAATCTAAAGTAAACACAGTATGTACATACATTTTATGAAAGAAAAATTCATTATGAATGAATACAAAACCCAATAAAGTCGTTCAGGTTTTATAGTTTCAGCACAGGTTAGCAAAAATTTACTACAAAAATGTGAGAAAAACCAATTAATTAAGCCACAAAACAAGCAATAATAGTTAAAAAACGGCAAAAAACAAAAAAAAACAGATACCAAAGTTGAAATATTCATCGAAAAAACACAATTACGGTAAAAAGTGTTTACTTTATCATGAATTTCAATACAATTTTGGAATAATTGGATTGATCACAAAATAAAAAATTCAGATTCACGCGTAAAGGCGCGATAAAAATTTAAATAGTGTTGAATTTGCAGCAAAAATCAAAAACTTAGAGAATAGTCAATGATTGAAAGAAAGTTTTTGCTCTTTTATATTATTTTTTAATCAATAAAGAAATAAATCAATAAATTGCATACAAACTTTTTCTTTCTCCTAGGCCAACACTTTGTCATCATTTCGTTCCGTTGCTCCAGTAGTTAAATTTGTTACAATTTCCTTCGACTCGAAATGATTAATGTCTCTATTCTCACACACACAATACATTTAATGTTTTTTAAATTGCTTTCAGGAAATTTGTTCCTCGATAAAATTCGAAAAATATTAAATCGTCGAAAACAAACATCAATAAATTATCGGAAATGCCATCGCATTGTATATTTACCAAACCAATTCTACTTTATTAAACTTGTCAATCAGATAATGCTTTCATTTCGCTAATTGGGGCTCAAATTTTGACATTTCGCTTAAAAAAACACCTTATTTTCCCCCAATAAAGTTGCAAACTTTCAAACAACAAAATCAACAATTGTGAACAAAACTTTGTCAATATTTTTCGTACGTAACCAAGCTTGGAAACGAGGTCACATTTCTATTATAAACTCCCTCGTGTGTTCATCGGACGAAACAATGAAGGGGATGTTTGAAACAATCAGACAGTAAATCCGACGAGACATTTTAGTCAAAAAAATCACCACTCACCTGACAAAGGGGCAGAAACACCTCCCCGATGGAATCATCCCTCGAAAACCGATCGTAATCGAAGACGTGCAAATGCAACACTCTCGATTGCAACTTCTGGATTGGGAATCCCTCAAAATAGAACGTTTCGTTCCATCGAGGGTTGAGTGTGCGTCTTTTGATCTTTGTCTCTAAACGGTGTTTCTTGTCGGGGAGGAGCGTCACGCGTACGTAAGGATCGCTAGTCCCGGATAAATCCTTGGCGGGTAAGTCCTTGCCCTGCAAAGGACAAGGTCGCGATCAAATTAAATCACAGTCGACGTGGATCAACGGAGCGAACCATCATCGATTACGAGGGACGACCTTCGACAACTCTTTGCCATTTTTAAAGCAGTTTGGGGCGAATTATGCACATAGAAATGAGGCAATTTCGAATTTTTTCTGACATGGCCCCGCCATAGAAATTCGTCGCGTCGTACTCGCTTTAAATAATTTCAAAAAATCGGAAACTGAGAAGTAATACAAAAACTGTCAAATTTTCAAAGCTGATCCAATTAAAACATCGCAAATATACAAGCAATTTCATAATTCGCGCTCCAGATAAAAATTTCAACTAAGATTAGATACCAGGAACATGAGAAAATGTTTAAAAATTTTGATATTTGAACTTTTTTTGTCTATTTATTGTTACCAATAGTCTTGTATATGTTTTTTTCATAATTATCCAAAATACCCTTTCGAAAGGATAAAACTATTGTAAATCTCATATTATTTTGAGAGACATCTTTTCTTCAATAATATTAAGATAACATACTTTTCTTTTCATATTATTATAAAAAATATACAGGGGTCCCAGCGAGTTGAAAATGTCGATTAGTAAATAGCAAAATTAAAAAAAATACATATGACATTGATAGACACTAATCTAATTCATCGCCTAAAATTATTTTGAACTATACAGCGTGTCTCAAAAATAAGTTACAATACAAACTTGTGTTTTTTAAATGAAACACCATATGTTTCTTAGCGTTTTTGAATGTAGATTTTCATGACAATGTTTTTACGGTAAACTTTTATTAGTCAATTTTGCTTAGTTTTAAAAATAAGACGTTTTTTTTGACGAAAACAAGCACTTTTTAAAAATTTATTATACAAAAACAAAGGTAGCTAGAAATATTTTTTTACTACCACAAAGAAGAAGGTACAAGCTATAAGGTTGTAATATTTTTTTAGTGTGTTGCATTTGCAAAAATAAAAAAATGAAGGTGTTTGTTAAAACTTCAATAACTTAATTAAATTAAATAGAATAAGACAAAAAAATAAATTAAAATTCAATAGAATACCCTATTTATTGTTTTTGCATTTAAAAGATTATTAAATTGTCTTTCTAAAATTATTTATTTTTAGGTGTTTATAATCAATAACTAAAAAGATATTCCGCTTATACCGGAAGTGGGTATCAACTTCGTTATTTTAAATAGAAGGCTATGCTTTTTATTGCGTTTTTGAAATACTCAAGTGATTTGAGAGTGTTTGATTAACTTTTGCTATACTTACTCGTAAGTCTAATCGTTTTCTAAATATTTAAACTTTTTTGAAAACTTTTGGAGTTGCATCTTTCTTTTTAAAAATTGATAACTCTGCCATTTTTAATTATTTTGAAATCGTATTTGGGATATGAAGAAGAAAGATTAGATCTTTCTTCTTCTATATTCATAATTGAAAAAATAGTTTACAAACTCATAAAATTTAAAAATTTAAAATTTTTCTTAATGAAAGGTCTCAATTTTGTCTTCACTAAATGAAGGAGAATTAAATTCTGCAGCGATCTGTGTCCACATTATTGCCTATACTTTTTTTAATGGTTTCCAATTTATCTTGACTATGCGAGAAATTCATTACTATCTACAGGTGTTATCGCATAGATTGTCATAGATATATTTCTCACTGAATAAACGACAAGTTTTTTTCACAATTGTGTTATTTTTTTTCGTAAATACAGTAAATGAAGCAACCAACATTACGTTTCATAGATAACGTGGATATTAACATATTTCGTTTTAATTAGTTAAACGTAGTAGTCGTATTTTTATTTTTGACAAATTTCTATCAGTCAAAATGACTTTACTCCAGTTTTTGAATGTAGATTTTTATGACAACGTTTTGAAGCTAAACTTTTATTGGTCGATTTTGCTTAGTTTTAGACATAAGACGTTAGTTATTTTTTGACGAAAATATGCAGTTTTTAAAAATTTATTACACAAAAACTAAGGCAGCTAGAAATATTTTTTTTACTACCACCAAGAAAAAGGTACAAGCTATAAGGTTGTAATATTTTTTTAGTGTGTTGCATTTGCAAAGATAAAAAAATTAAGGCATTTGTTAAAAGTTCAATAACTTAAAAATTTAAATGGAACACCCTATTTATTGTGTTTGCATTTAAAAGATTATTAAATTGTCTATCTAAAATTATTTACTTTTAGGTGTTTATCATCAATAACTAAAAAGATATTTAACGTTAAACAGTAAAAAAAAATAATTACTATTTTTTCAGTAGCCAAAAAGTGCACATTTGTAACAATAGGGTGTTCCATCAATTTTTTTTAAGTTATTTACCTTTTAACAAACTTCTTAATTTATTAATCTTTACAAAAGCAAAACACTTAAAAATTGCTACAGCTTTAAGTTCTGTACATTCTTTTTTGCGGAAGTAAAAAAAATTGTTCTAATTGTCTTAGTTTTTGTGTAAAAGTGCATGTTTTCGTCTTACTTCTAAAACTAAGCAAGATCGACTAATATAAGTTTAGCATAAAAACAATGTTTTAAAAGGCTGCATCCAAAAAAGCAAAGAAACATACGGTGTTTCATTAAAAAAAACACAAGTTTGTGTCGTAACTTATTTTTGGGACATGCTGTATGGTTGAAAATAATTTTAGGTGATGCACTAGATTAGTATCTATCAATGTCCTATACAACTTTTTTTTTTAAATTTCACCATTTCAAGGTCACTAATGGACTTTTTCAACTCGCTGGGACACTCTGTATACATTATTACACTCCATTTCAAACTTCGCGCATTACCGGACTACTAATGAAACAAAATAATAATAATTTTAGAAACATTTTGTTAACCTCACTGTCGTAATGTTTATTCGTGTCGTATGGACATGTAACATTTTTATTAATGTGAATTTTATTGTAATTGTAGCTTTTATGTTATTATTTTGATGAAAACTGGTGTGGCATGATCCAATTAGTAAGTTTTTTTTTCAAATTGTGACGTAATATTTTATATTATAACTTATAGGCCCCCACGTTCATCATAATAACATAAAATCCACCCAAATTGATGCCTGAAAATGACAACGGCCGTTGTCGAAACGTCGCCCCATAAAAAAAAACAATATCTTGATCTAATTCGTTCTTTCATTCCACGAAATACAACAAATATACATTTAACCTTCAAGGACACTAAATCAAACGTCAAGTTAACATACTTTTCTTTTCATATTACTTTAAAAAATATATTATTTCTGTTTATTCTTTTTATGTGTTTTCTCTTTGTATTTATTCTAGTTTTTGTTATTTTTTGGGTTTATATTATTTCATAATTTATGCTTTGTTTTGTTTCTGAGAGGTTAAGTAGCATTAGCTAGACTCGCCTCCTCATATGTTTTCTTTAATAATATTTTATAAATTATTATTATAATTTTTTACACAGACGGTCCCAGAAACAGAACTAAAGAGAAATAATTTACAAATAGTGCAAACAAAGTGTTTACTTTTGCTTACATAACAAAGCAGTAGGATTTTTATTTCTGTAAAATTATATCGGATGTTAGGTTTCAAAAATAATTGAAATCAACCAGTACGTTAAAAAAAACGATAACGTAAAATTTATATGGGGGCGAGCGGCTATGCCGCAAGCCCCCCATTATTTCAACAAAACATTTGCGAATTCGATAGTGTGAATTCTACGTGGAGAGGCACGGCTTTGCCGCGAGCTTCCCATAATTTCCACAAAACATTTGCAAATTTGATAGTGTGAGTTTCCCATTATTTCCAGAAAACATTTGCGAATTTAATAGTGTGAGTTTCCCATTATTTCCAGAAAACATTTGCGAATTTAATAGTGTGAGCTCTTCGCATGGGCGTTCCGTCTAAACCCCACTTTAGAAGTATTGGGAGTTGGAATAATCATATTTGTTTGAAAATTAGTATATAGACATAATGCGTTAAGTCCTCCTAAATGAAAATATTTTCAAAATGGCGGCACTTCCGCTTATACCGGAAGTCGGTGTCAACTTTCTTATTTTAAATGGAAAGGTATATTTTTTACTGCGTTTTTGGATTAATCGGGTTATTTTAAGGGAGTTTTCATTAGCTTTCCCTATACCTAAATTTAGCCGTTTTTGAAATATTTGGAGTTTTTCAAAAAAATTTGGATTTGCACCTTCCACTTTAAAAATCGGTAACTCTGCCATTTTTTAAGATTTTGAATTCGTTTTTTTGGCGTTTGAAAGAGAAAGCTTAGATCCTTTTTCTGGTATTTTCAAATTTTGAAAAAAAATAACATATCTCAAAATTTTAAGATTACTTTTGTAATAATTCAAATTTTGAAAAAAAATTAACATATCCCAAAATTTTAAGGTTACTTTTGTAATAATTCAAATACTTATAACATATTTTTTTCAAATGGAATACCCCAATTTTTATTTTACTAAATAGCAGAGAATTTAATTGTGCATTGATATGTATTAACATTCCCTATACCTAAATTTAATAATTTTCAAGTTATGGACTTTTTTTTAAGACTACATAAACTTTATTACTAGCCACACCTGTTTTCACAAAATTTGCTATGGAAATCAAAAATGTCAAAATTTTCTCTAAACAAACGTCAACAGTGACTTATTATTTGCCAAATAGTGCCAAAATATAAAGAATCAAAATTATGCAAACTTAATTATTATTGATAGGTTCTACCATGCGATCATTATTTAAAACTAACAAGTGAGAAAAATTTATTTTTGTTTAATGAACGACATCATAATTTTGTTACACTCTCCATAAATACAAAATAAATTAATTAAATCTAAGTTTGAGTAGCTTTGACTCTACATATTTTGGCACTATTTGCTAAATAATAAGTCACTGTTGACGTTTATTGAGAAACAATTTTGTCATTTTTGATTTCCGTAGCAAACTATACGAAAACGAATGTGGCTAGTAATAGATTTTAAAAAGTAAATTAAATAAATATTAAATTTAGGTATAGGGAATGTTAATACAGATCGATGCAGAATTAAATTCTCTTCCATTTAGTAAAATAAAAATTGGGATATTTCATTTGGAAAAATTTAGTTATGGGTATTTGAATTATTACAAAAGTAACCTTAAAATTTTGAGATATGTTATTTTTTTTCAAAATTTGAAAATACCAGAAAAAGCATCTAAGCTTTCTCTTTCAAACGCCAAAAAAACGAATTCAAAATCTTAAAAAATGGCAGAGTTACCGATTTTTAAAATGGAAGGTGCAGATCCAAAAATTTTTGAAAAACTCCAAATATTTCAAAAACGGCTAAATTTAGGTATAGGAAACGCTGATGAAAACTCTCTTAAAATAACCCGATTAATCCAAAAACGCAGTAAAAAATATAGCTTTCCATTTAAAATAAGAAAGTTGAGACCGACTTCCGGTATAACCGGAAGTGTCGCCATCTTGAAAATATTTTCATTTAAGAGGACTAATGGTTTATGGCTATGAACCAATTTTCAAATAAATACGATTATTCCAACTCCCAATATTTTTAATGTGGGGTTTAGACGGAACACCCTGTATAATTTCCACAAAACATTTTCGAGTCTAAATTCCTCTATTAATAGCCTACAGCAAAAGACATGTAAAATTACATTTCCAACAGAAATAAGTAGAGACAAAATACAAAATTTAAACCCTTATAATTCCGAAATTTTTATAGATAGAATTTTCTCCATGTTCCTGGTATGTAAACTAACGTGCCATTTTTTTAGGAGATGCTAGTTCTGACACACCCTGTACATCTTTTTGTTTACAAATGACCCGGAAGTTTTTATGAAAGAAGTTTTTATGTTTCACAAATCGATGAATTATCTGTTGAAAAGCTTTTCAAGCACGCAAGGAGCATATTACTGTGGTCGTAACCACAAAAACGGAAACGCAACAGTTTGCTACTATCGAAAACTCAATTTCACAAGAATTTTTTTCACAAATTAGTTGTCTCGTCCTAATTGCCAATTAGCCGACCTGTTGTCCGTAATTAAGAAGTTTCGATGGGAAACTCCTAATAGTTTTAAACTCATTACGTGCTTTTGTCAATTAAAATTTTTCACTACCGACCTGGATTATCCTCAGGATGAGAGTCGTATTCTGGAAGTCGTACTCGAGAGAGAAATGTATCTGACCGACGTTTTCCGAAGGTTCAGAATTGTCGATGTACATGTCCACCAGAGATATAGAACGGTTTTGCAGGAATGCCATCTGAAAAAAAAATCACTAGGGGGCTCGACCAAGGGACGTGTCAAAGGTTTAGAGAGATAATTCCGGTTTATTAGGTGGTAAATCTCCACATGAATCATATTTTTGAATAAAATACTATCAAAGCTCTATTGAGCTTAAACTTGCCGGAATATGAAAATTCCTCGTCTTAACTTTCAAATTTAATTATAACTGATGATTCCGGCTTAAATTCGCCGAAACTGGTTCTAATTAAGGATTAAAAGCTTCTCTAACTCGAAAAACCACAAATTTTTATTGTTTCAAATCAAATAATTTAAAATTGGACAGGACGTGTGGGCTTTTGAGACACACTCTACGAGTCTTTGGAGAATAAAAACTGGTTTAACAACATTTTTTACAAAAAAAATATACAATAATTGTCAAAAGTGAGTAATGAGAAAATGGCGTGTTTGTTAAAAACTCCACTTAACTTAATTAAGGCAGGCTTTTGAGCCAATCGAAATATTTGCATTTGATTGATTTGCAGCCGGAATTAGCAAAAATAAGATTAGTTCATTGTCAAATAAATCGGGTTTTGCTCATTTGATTAAGTAAATAGTTTGAAATGTTACTGTCAATTAATAATTAAATAAATAAAACGATCCACAAATAATTTCACTGATGACAAAATAGTTATCGAAAATAAAAGATTTTGATTCAGTGTAAATAAAAGAAAGGGAATATCAAAACAAAACTAATTGGTGTTTTTCCTGAATTAAATACTTGATATTTTTTTTAAAATAAGTACAGATTGTAGATTTTTCGCTTGTTTGCTGTTAAAAAAAGTTTCAGAAAATCCTGAAAAACCAGGGAAGTATTATTTGAAATTTCTTTCTTCGGAATTATCTCTATAAGCAACCACCGACTTTTACATAATGTATAGCTCGCGTCGTGTGTATATTTAGAGCGAGTATCATTGTCAATGTGAAGCTTTAATTGATAACAGCCGCAAGCTGTCTCTTTGTGTTTACTGGCTGTATGCTTGCAATTTCAGCGTCCTGTTAGTGTTCCACTTTCGTCTCTTTGATCTGTCTTTGGTATTGTTTCCAATGTCGCCGACCAATCCTAGCTTAAATCACGTTTTAATAATAACACACCCAAAAAACTTATCTTCACAGAGACGAAAATGGACGTTGTCTATGACACGGTTAAGTTTTTAATTAAAAAAGTTGAGGGAGATTTAGTCGAGCCTCCGCTCTCGGGGTTGAATACATCCAACAACCATGACCACATCGATGGGGAGAAAAACGGGATTTTATTGTGTGTTAATAAATTTGAAAAATTATTGATTTAAAGAAACACAGTTTTTAATTAATACAAGCCTGTGTGAATTGTGGTTCAAATCTATTTACTAGTTTACAAATTAAAACTGTGCAACTTTTGTAATCAACTCGTAGAATTCGTTTCATTCAGTTAATTAATTTGTTAATCAAGTAGATTAATTACAGTGAAACAAAGTAATTTGTTGACCTGTACACGTGCCTAAAAATTACGTAATAAGCTTAATGTTCTATACAGGGTGAGCCAACTTATATGCATAAACTTTAGAAAATAATAGTTCCTGTCCAATAACAACATAATAGTGAAAAAATTCTAGAAAAAGTGTTCTAGTTACTAAGATATTGCGGGATAATAACACTATTCAACCTTTAATTTTTAAATAATACCTGTAGGGTGTTAAAAAAGATTGGAAAATATTTCAGGAGGTAATAATAATATGAACCAAAACAAACAAAAAAATCTTAATAAACATGAGTCCGCAAAGTAACGGTTTCGGAGAAATCAAAGATTATTCGTTTTATGAAACATTTATTTGCAATCTGCTCAAATAAAAAAAGAAGTTTCTAGTAGAAATTCTAAAAATTTTCACACTCGAAATATTCGAAACCGTTACTTTATTAAGGCTTTTTTGTTTATTTTGGTCCATTCTTACTATTACCTCCTTAAATATTTTACAATCTTTTTTTAACACCCTGTGTAATATTATCATAATTTTGATCAAGTTTGGTATAGTGGTAGACATTAACTTTCTTAATATGACATTTCGTAGTGACAATGAAAAAAATTATGAGTAAAATGCAAAATAAGTTAACAAAACTTATTTTCTTTTCGTAGATAATGCGATAAAATTGGAAAAAATTAAAAAAAATATTGTCGAAAAAAAACAAATAAAAATTAAATAGTTTATTTTGCATTTTACACATTATTGATCATGACATTTCCTATAAGGAAAGTATTGTAATCGGCTGAAGTTTGACCTACCTATATTTTTACATTTCTGGACGAATTCAAGACACTAAAAAAGTTGGTTTGGGCCATTGGGTTGTGTGTCTGCCTGTAAACAGCATATCTCGAAATCGATAAGAGCTAAAAACTTGAAATTTGGTATATAAGTTACTTGTAGCAAGAGGACGTAGCACGAAATATTGGTAAAAATCGGTCGCACCGTTCGGCCAAAAATCAAAATTATACGGTTGAAGGTGCAATAAATAAATTCATGGGAATAAAAATTATCTAGAATTATGAATTATACCTTATTAAACAGTAAAATGTGATAAAATAAAAATAATAATGGGTACCAAACTCTAAAAATATTGCACACCAGACTCGAACCCACGGCAACTATGATCATTTCGCGTGTAATCCGGTAAGTGAGACTAACGCAAACGTTAGGTTTGCTACTCGGATTTCCAAGACCGTAAGGATGTTTTCCAAATAAGTTGGATAAGGAAAGTCGTGTGATGTTCATACCAAATTTTTTTCATTGTCACTATCGAATGTGAAATTAGGGAAGTCGATGCCTACCCAGCTTGGTAAAAATAATGACAATCTTCGTATTATTTAAAATTTAAAAGTTTAATAGTGATTTTATGGCGCAATATTTCAGTAACTAAAAAACATTTACTTTTTTTAATATTCGTTGTTGTTTGGCAGTAACAATCATTCTCTAAGATTATGCGTATAAGTCAAGACTCCAACCCTTTATTATTTCAAAGCAAAAAAGCAATTTCAGTTAAAATTTTTAGTAACCGGTAAAGTCCAGAATTCCGGTTCTCTTCATTCACAAGCTGCCATATTTCGCATTAGATAGACAAAATTTTTCTTTTTGTGAATAATCGCAAACTTACAGTTTCACGTTTTCTATCCATCCACCCAAAATTTCCGGTTTCTTGCGTTTTTAATCTTTCGTGATAAATGATAATAGATCAAAATTTTGCAACTGCGTGTAAAAGTTATTCTGAAACTGAATAAATAGTAAAAAAGTCGTTTCCATCAAAACCACGCATAAATACAGGTGTTCAAAAAATCGCGCACTTCCTTGAAAAGGAGTAATTGGGTAGTCCCCTAGAGTATTGAAAAAAATGTTTAAAAAATTCTATCTGTCATAAAATTTGACATTTGACATTTTTAAGTCTATTTAATGATACTGATGATCTTGTATATGGTTTTTTATAATTATCAGACAAAGGTACAAAAATTTTGTCAATAAAATCCACAAATAACATTAAACAGAGTTACAATTTAGGATACAGCTTCTTTGTTTCCTCTTCTAATAGCCTGTGGTAAAACAACTTGGAAAATTATTTTTCCAACAGAAATAAATAGAGTCATAGTGCAAAATTTAAACTCTCATAACTTCGGAATTTTTAAAGATATTTTTTTAAACATTTTTCTTGTTGTCTAGGGCAATGACACAGTGCGCGATTTTTTGAACAACCCTGTATAAGCTAGAATTGTACAGGGTGTTCGCGGATTACGATAAAATGTTCTAACCACTAATAAAACTCATTAAACGAGGGGTCCAATTAAGTGATCTTCTATGGTTTCTGCCCAAACATTTAAATCCGTTCACTAGTCATTTCAGCGTTTGAGTAGTTGGCCATAATGACTTGATTTACAATTTAATGTCAAATTGATGTGCACAATTTACCCAAAAGCGCGTTTTCAACTGACTAAACTGACACGTGTAAACACCTGATATTTTTTTGTGCACAAAAGTTATCCCTTTTTTGTGCATAAATTCAATGTACTAGTAAATTACTTTCATTAAAATCTTAAACTCCCACCTAAAAAAGACAGAATTTGTTTGGTCTTCAAATTAACTTCTAATAACGAATTATTTTAGTGGTTAGTTGCTCATCCGGCAACGCTCTGTATTTTGATTTTTTTCCACTTTTAACAACAAAATCATAAAACGCACCCTTTTCAAGGAGTGTATCTCCGTTACATAGTATTTTTGATACATGTTTATAGAAAGCTCTTGTCTTAAAATTTTGTTTAAAACACTCTGTACAAGTATAATGCAAAATTTTGCAGTAAAATGCACCTTTTTTCCACCTTTTTTAGTAAAATCCCGCTTTTCTCTCCCCTTTTGGACTTCTCATGCACGGTCTCATCGTCTGAAAGTAAAGCCCTGCGAGCCTCCGGCTATTTACCCCAACAAAGCCTTTACTTTCCGACTCCCATTTAACACAGTTAAAACACGAATCCGACCACAAAGAACGACAATCAACAGATCAAGCCGTACAAAAGAAAAAAGTAGAAATAAGACAGGTTTGCGAGAGCGTGAGACTCCATCCCTCTCAAATATACATTTTTTATTTCGTCGATGGTTGCGAAGTGTGTGAGAAGGTTAATAAAACATTGATCATGCTTACATCCTGGCTTACCGATGGATGGTCCCCTTTGACATTTTGAAGGGCCTTGTTGGGAGCTGTGGGCGTGCGAGCTTCTGAGGGCAGTGCTCCTGCGCTGCTCCCGGCCGGCGACTTCGCCTGTGGACTTCCTGTCGTCCTGAAATCACTTATTTACACACAAATCGAAAAAATTGCAAAATTACTTACTCTAACTGCGCTCTGTTGGATCCAAAAAAGACATGAAAAAAAAAACAATTAATCAAATATTTGCTCAAAGGGAAGCTCCCATTAATCGAATCAGTTCAAAAGTGTCACAGACAGGCTTAATTAGCGAAAGTAAACATGAAAAGGGCAAACCGCGAACAATTTTTAGAGTTCGTGTGAAGGCTAATTGAGAAATTATTTTAAAAAAGAATAGTATCAGTAGGATGAAATTCTGACATTGCCCTTCCATAGAAATTTGTTACATCAGACTCGTCCTTTAATAAAAAAAATCGAATTCTCAGTCATCAATCACGTCGAAAGATACAAAACGCCCTCGTTTACCCATTCTTCCAAAAAAAAAAACTCACTAAGACAACCTTTTAATTGCATTTGACCGATGATACGTATAAATCGTCGTCAGGATCGAAATGGAAAAAACGTGTCGACCAGACCAGACAGAGAAAATTTAAAATATCTCCCTGTTGAAGGTTAAGAGAGAGATTTTAATGAAAATAATTCGGTCTTGTTTAGGTCCTCGTTTTATTGCAACCGTTGCTCAAAAGGGATCGATAGTTATTGTCCCCACTCTGGGTGCTAATACAAATTGTAACAGGGATGGCGTAGTCGTGGTGTAATCGACACGGTTATTAATTATTGGGAGATTTTAGAGTGATGAGATTGGACTTTGGGAAAGTTAATTTTTAGTTTCAAAATGCCTGAACACTCCTCGAAATCATAGTTTGTAGACGTAACAAGTTTCTATGGTTTACAACAAGTAGTTTTCCAGTTATTGGCCAATATTCTTCCTACGAAATCCGGAGATGATCATAAAATCGTTTTGTGGAAGTCCGGGCTCTCGAAGGGTTTAGAGATCGATAATATCTTATGCAAAATCAGCCAAAGATTCCAAATCCGTCTTAATTTCTTCTCAACAACTAGTAATTTTCAAGTTATCAGCCAATTTTCTCAAGTTAAATTTAAGAATTATTTTCATAAAAACGTTTCTTTTTTACCACAAAAAGCGGTTAAAATTTGGTTTATTTACGGCGAAAGCGTTAAGTTAGTGTGCTTATTCTTTATTTTTTATAGGATTTAGGCAAAGCTATAAATCGGATTGGCAAACTCTTATTTGACCCTTATATAAAATATTCTGAAAAGCACAAATGTGACAAAAACAGTCGAAAATTTCGAGTGGTTTAAAAGTTATCGGCTCTTATACAGTGTGTCCCCAGATAGGTGAAACGACTCTTGTAAGATAAAAAAAATTGAATAATTTCCATTTAAGTTTTGCATATTTTGGGATTCAGCCCTGCTTAAAGATTAATTTCTAACATAATTTTAGTTTTGGAAAATCAAGTCCTAAAAATGTTCAAAAAATCTATTTTTCTGTAAAGTGCCTTTTATGACGCAAATACGACAAAAAATTATTAGGAAAAGTTGTTTAGAATCAACATTTAGGCCCCTACATCAAATTTCAAAATCATCGGCCAACTATAATTTTTCATTTTTTTCATTTTTTTTATTAACAGAAACGTCAAAAATTTATTTAATACTAAAATAATCTAAATGCAAATTGTTTTTATTCGTAAAAATAATTGTATAAATATAGTTATTTATTATACAAGACGATAAAATTCAATATTATCTTTAAGAGCATATTAGCGTCTCGGCTACCGCCTCGACGCTAAAGTGCTCTTAACGATAATGAAAATTTTATTGTCGTGTAGAATATAAAATTTTATTCAATCCTCACTAATCTTGTAGTCAATTTGGTCAATATTTATAAATATCAAAGTAAAATTCAATAATAAAATCTTATGTCAAAGATCGTTAGCAACTAACAACCGCAGATATACAACAATGAATGTATTTTTTAGAGGATTGAATAAACACCATTTTTTGTCTATTTCTATTTTTATTGTGTATAAAATTACAAAAATTTAAAAAAATATTAAACTTGTTAACTATCAACTTAGAAAACCCGGAACTATCGAAATTATGACCCGTTTCACTCCCAGCCCTCTATTATTCATTTGTCCGGGATTACGTCTGTTGCCACCACACAACAACCAAGTTATTCTCCCCCATCCACCCTCAAAATTCTCAAAAACAGCCACAAATCAGCGGTGGAAAACTCAGGTGGCGCCGGAACAACTTCTTTCCGGTTTCCGGTTTTATTAGCCGACTTGGCGTCGCCATCGGTTGCATTTCAGGTGAATATTTTTCGACGATTTTCCGGCGAGAAATTAACTGTCATGTCATGGATTGCTAAGATATGAGTAACATTTCCCTCATGTAGGCGCGCGATTACGATTCGAAGCGTATCTGAGAAGGGTTTCGTGCATTGTTTTCGACCGCTTTTGTTGAAATATTTACTCTAATGACTTGGAGCAAAAACAAATAGATCAGTTTTTGAAATAATTCAGCGGAATTTTCATGAAATTTTCATCAAATTAACGGTAAAATGAAGCAATATAGTTTAATTAGGCGGGGAATGTTACATTATTATTAATTACAGCAATATTTTGTAAAATTAACCTTTGTGGTGAGGATTCTGACATGGCAGTCCCATACAAGTTGTTTACGTCTTAATTTTTTTTCTTCAAAATTAAATTTAAATTATGTAAAAATAAATCGACTGAAGTCTCAAACTCATTTTTTATATTTTAGGCGGGAATGTTACATTATTATTAATTGCAGCAAAATTTTGCAAAATTAAAAGCGTTGTGGTAAGGATTCTGACATGGCAGCTCCATATACGTTGTGTACGTCTTGAATTTTTTTCTTCAAGATTACATTTAAATTATGTAAAAATAAATCGACTGAAGTCCCAAACTCATTTTTTATTTTTATTTGCCCAAGTTTCAAAATAATTTCCATCCATTTAACGTTAAACCCTTCCTACTTCCCCTCAAAAAAAGTTTTAATTACTCTCAAACTCCGACGATACATTTCCACCCTAATTCGCCATACCTTGCGGAATAATACTCGAAGAAGGCGACGAGTATCTCGATCGACCTTGAGAAAGCCGCCCACATTGTCACTCATGATTGTTCACAACTTAACTCTTTTGTACCAAACCCGGAAAAAGGACGTCATCGCCTCCTAGAGGACTTCCATAACTGCACAAAGAGAAACGTATGGACTCGCCTAAGGCCTTCAAACCGCGCGCTCCTCTCCAATTACACCGAGGGTATATCTCCCTAATGGATGCATCAATCTCAATTCGCGAGAATGGGGGTCGAGGACGCGAAAAAAGAAATTAAAAATATGGGAAAGTTTAGACTCATTTCAGTACTAAAACCAGTGCTTTAACGAAAGAGATAAAACTATGATGGATACGTGTTTGTTGTGTCAAAACGTAACGAATTGTAGTTCGTTTGGAGAATCGATAACAAACAGATAAAAGAAAAATGATGAATGGAAGCTATTATAGAAAAAAAATGTAAACACAGAAGTAATTACTTCAATGTCAACTAATTACGAATTCAAGAACGTTTTCTTAAAATTAAACAAATTTACATTTGCACCCCCTTATTTAACATTCAGTTCCATTAAAAGACGAAATTTTCAAAAAATGCACGACTTGAAACGACAGAACGTCCCTTCCAATCGCTGTCTTCGCCCTATTATTACAAAGTTATTTGAAAGCGGGCGTTTGCCACCCCCTTTAAATCACTAGTCGAATCCCGGGAATTTACTAAGTGAAAAATATTTTCAAATAAAAATTTCTCTAATTTAAGACAACTACTAGAATTTTGCGCGCGCCGCCCCCTATCATAATACCCCGTCGTTTTGTAATCAGAGAGAACCCAAATAGCCCGGAGTGGAGCGCACAAATAAGGCCCCGGCCGTCTTGATCGATCGTCGCTTTTTCGATCCGGAACCACCCTCCCGGAAAAATCGAAACCGTGTGACCTTGAAAGCACCACCAAAACATACAATGGGTAAACAAAATCGACGCGGAAACAAACGCCGAAAAGTACTTGACGGTTGGCGTCGCGACGCGCAACTGTCTACTAAAGTCCAAAGGCATGGCCAACTACCACTTGTAGCGCGTGGGGATGCGGTGGCGCTGAGGGTCTGGGCAACGGCCTACTTCGATAGCAAAAATGCAACGCGACCTTCGACGAAAACAGGAAAAAAACGTAAAGTTTAAAGGCGATTAAAAGTTTTTGGGCAAAAAAGACGGGAAATAAACGATTTTTTAATGGGAGAAGAAAGTTAATTCTAATTATTTGAAATAAGCAATAAAAATTATTAAATTATTAAAAGAAGGGGAAATTTTGGACATAGCAGCTCCATATCAATTTGTTACGTTTCAATAAACATTTTTAATAAAACTACCAGTCTGAATGTCAAGGTTTTAAATTATACCTTCATAAAATGTTAGAAGAAGTTCGAATTTGATAAGAAACTCGGAATATTCAATATTCAATAGTTTAAAATTTATGTCTAGAAATTTAATACATATACGGTTCAGAAGATCAGAAGTCAAATCTTGTTCAAATGAGATAGTTAAGCATTAAAAAAATTGTATAAAAAAGTAAACAAAGATAAAAAACAAAATCTTTATTGAAAGAGAATTAATAATATTTAAAATAGTAAAAAGATTTAACAATACAGTACCAACCACATAATCATTTTGAGAAAAATTGTGACCTAGACTGGAAATTGCTTAAAATTATGTGTATTTGAAATTATTAAATTAAGCTTCAAGTTGTTTGGAATTACTAGAATTGTATCTGAATTACTGGAATTTTTCTGGAATTACTAGAGTTCTTTTTGGAATTATCGGTGATATTTTTTTTAATTACGTTAAGTTTCTTAAAACTATCGGAATTAATCTGTAAGTACCAGAAATTAATCTGAATACAATGGTATTACAATGAATTATTGGAATTTCAGTGGATTTTTTTATGGAATTACTAAAATTTTGGTGTATTTTTTCCGAATTGGAATTAGTTGAAATTTGTTCATAAAATGTTACAACAAGTTCTAATTTGATAAGGAAC